GTATGGGAGTGCACCAGCAGTCAACATGCTGAGAGCCTACGGCTGCATGGTGGTGTTTCATGTGCCGAAGGAGAAGAGGGGAAAGCTGGAAACATCTGGGACATGACCAGCCAGCAGCTGACTGTGTCAAGGGATGTGAAATTCCTCGAGTCCTTGTACAACAAGGAGTGGAAGCAGCAGCAGCAGAAGCTTCCCACGACACCGCTGGTCATTGAGGCCGTTGAGGTGCAGCGCCCTTTAAGGCAGGTGGAGGTTTCTCTCCCTGAGAAGTGTGATGAGGATGAGATAGCCTACTGCTGTGGGGCTAAATTCAGATGCTTTTGAGGATAGTGCCATGAGAGAGAGGCTACAGAGGGGTGCTGCAGATTTGAGAAAAAAAATGGAGATGTTGGAAGTGGGATGTTGGAAGGAGATGTGCAAATGTCCCTGATCAAGAAATGCATGAAGCTTGCTGGGATGAGTGTGCATTGAGTATGCCTGCTTGAACTATGGCATGTGGGATGATGGTAGACAGCCAGAGGGGGAGATTGTTGTGTGATGCAACCATATGCACTCACGTCTGTCTGCCTCCCATCATGTGTTCGTGCGTTTGCATGCGTGGTGTGAGCATGTGCAAGAATTTGTGTTTGGTGTGGTTTGGATTTTCTGAGTGTGTGTGATTGTGATTTGGCTTGAGCAGATATCTGAAATGACTCCTCTGCTCGAGGGCTTTCCGACGAACCAAGAATCGTCGCAATCGGAGCACGACCAAGAAAGTTACGAACATTGAAGTTCGTATGCTTTTGAGATTCGGTTGTGGCGACTATGGGAAGTTGTGGGGTTGACTCAATGTGGGGTATAGACTTTTGGGGTTGGGAAATTCGAACCCATCACTGTAGATTGCTGCCATGTGGTTGGGTGAAGCCAAACCAGGTTGGCAAGTGTGGCCAAGTGGGTTGAGGTGGATGGCATGAGTTGGGAAAGTGACAAATGTCAAAGGTGGGGTGCCTATAGAGAGGGGATTTGTGTGGCATGGGGTTTCCTTGGTTGAGGACTCCCTTGGGACCTTCCCTCTCGTCCTCCTCTTCCCTCCTACCTGGTTTTCTTGCTACTCCAACTCACTTGTGAGAACTTGTGAGAACTTGTGAGAGAATTATCATTGAGTTAAGTTTCTATGGCAGCTTACCCCCTAGTGCGCCGAAATTGATAACTCGGGTTATACTCCACCTTTTGACACGATTCAAATTGGGAAATGTAGCTACGGTCTAGAGCTACAACAAACTTGAGTTTGTTAGAGGATTAAGGACGGAGTTTATGAAGATTAGGAGCCCAAATTTCTCAAAATCGTTGGGCCTAGTTCCTGGACAGAAACCGCGATTTCACAAGAAATGCCGTCGACGAAAATTGCACCGTTGCCCAAATGTCTCAAACTCGATTATGTTGTAGCTCTAGACCATAGCTACAATTCCCAATTTGAATCGTATCAAATGATGGAGTATATCTCGAGTTATCAGTTTCGGCGCACTAGGGGGTATGCTGCCATGGAATCTTAACTCAATCACAATTCTCTCACAAGTTCTCACAAGTACCACACACAAGAGAGTTAGAGTAGGACTAAACCAGGTAGGAGGGGATAAAGAGGACGAGAGGGAAGGTCCCAAGGGAGTCCCCAACCAAGGAAACCCTATGCCACACAATTCCCCTCTCCATAGGCAACCCCACTTTCACTTTTGTCACTGTCCCAACCCATGCCATCCACCTCACCCCAACCTGGCCACACTTGCCAACCTGGTTTGGCTTCTCCCAACAACTTGGCAGCATCTACAGTGATGGGTTCGAATTTCCCAACCCCCAAAAGTCTATACCCCTTATGGAGCAAACCCCACAACTTCCCATAGTCGCCGCAACCAAAGTACAGAAAGCATACGAACTCCAACGTTCGTAACTTTCTTGATCTTGCTCCGATCGCGACGGTTCTTGGCTCGTCGGAAAGCTCTTGAGTAGAGCTGTCACTTCAGATATCTGCTCAAGTCAAATATCATCCACACACACTTTGGAAATCCAAACCGCGCAAAACACAAATTCTTGCACACGCTCACACCACGCATGCAACGCACGAACACATGATGGGAGGCAGACAGACGTGAATGCATATGGTTGCATCACACAACAAACTCCCCCTCTGGCTGCCAACCATCATCCCACATGCCATAGCTCAAGCATGCACCCTCAATGCACACTCATCCCAGCAAGTTTCATTCCCTTCCAATGCTCAGGTTCTGCCAGGCGCTTGGTGAGAATGTCAGCCGCCTGCTGCTGGGTCTTCACAAGCTCCAGTCGCACTTCCTTGTCCAGGAGCCTCCTTGTCCAATGCCACTTGGGCCTGATGTGCTTGGTCAGCCCATGAAGACAAGCATTCTTGGCCAACTTCACTGTTGATTCGTTGTCACAGAAAATCACAGTTGGCTCCCTCTGAGCAACACCAATCTCCTCCAACAAATGCCTCAGCCACACCACCTCCTTAGCCCCATGATGCAGGGCCATGTACTCGGTCTCACACGAGGACAGCCCCACCTCGTTTTGCTTCTTGCTGCGCCAGCTTACTGCACCTCCTCCAATGAGGCACACATAACCTCCAATGCTGGTGCCATCCGCCTTCACAGAGTTGAAGTTGGCGTCGGTGTAGCAAGTCAAGCGCATCTCCCCCTTGCCCAAGTCAGCTGCACCCCTCTGCAGCCTCTGTCGCACAGCACTGTACTCCAAGCCCACTGATGCCGTTGCACTCACATAGCGGACCAACCTCTTGGCCGCTTCCAGCTGCTCATGACTGGGACGTGACACCACACTTGCAAGCCTGGATGTAGCAAATGCAATGTCAAGCCGCGTGTGGTTAGCCGCATAGTTCAGCGCCCCAACCATGGAATGAAACAGCTTCCTGTCACTCTCTCCCACCACCTCCTCATCAGCACAGGGCTCTACGGTGAACCCTGAAGGCAGTGGGGTGGCTGGCTTCCCTCCATCTTGCAGCCCATACTTCTCAGCCAGCCCCTCACAGTACTTCCTCTGGTGCAACCTCAACACTCCCTTGTCGAGGTCCCTCTCCACATGCATTCCCAGGTAATACTTCACATCTCCCATCTTCGAACACTTAAACTGCATGTCCAGCATCTCCTCCACACGCTCAATCATCGTAGACGACTCAGAGAAGAGCAGGATACCGTCCACGTACACAAGGAGCATGAGAAACTGCGCCTTCTCCTGCAGCAGGAACAGGCTGTGGTCACACTCTCTCTTCTTCAATCCCCCAGCCAGCAGTGTCTCCTCTAGCTTGTGGTACCATGCACGAGGAGCCTGCTTCAGGCCGTAGATGGCCTTCTTCAGCCTGCACACCCTGCCGCTCCCATCATCTAGCCCCTCAGGCTGCAGCATGTACAGCTCCTCCAGAATGATCCCATTGAGGAAGGCAGTGATGATGTCCATCTGCTTGATCTTCCATCCACGGTTTGCAGCCATTGCCAACATCGTCTTAAGTGTAGTCCCTTTCCCCACAGGAGCAAAGATATCGTCAAAATCCTTCCCCTTCGTCTGCTGGAACCCCTTAGCCACAAGCCTTGACTTGTAGCGGGTCAGCTCCCCATCAGGTCCATACTTGTGCCTGAAAATAAGCTTCGAAGAGATTGCCTTCTTCCCTGGAGGCAGCTCACACAACTCCCATGTCTCGTTCTCCAGCAGTGAGTCGTACTCCTCCTTCACACTCTGCTTCCACTTCTCAGCATCGGGCCCACTAAAGGCCTCGGTAAGTGTCTTGGGCTCAGGGACGGCTGCCAAGTAGCAGTGCGCTATCTCCTCCTCATCACACTGCTCAGGCTCACTCCCAGCTCGCACCTTCTTTGGCTTCCCAAAGCTCGGATAGGTAAGGCGGTTAGGAGGACGCACATCCCTCCTAGGACGGTCAGCCGAACGTGCGGCACTTTGTGGAGCACCTTGCTGCTGCTGCTGCGGCTGCTGCTACTGCTGCTGCTGCTCCACCACCTCAGGTTCTTCCCCATCCTCAGTCACTCCAGAGATCTCCTTCTCGGAGACAGAAACCTCCACCTGCCTCGAAGGCCGCTGCACCTCATTGGCCTCAATGATCAGTGGTGTAGTGGGAAGCTTCTGCTGCTGCTGCTTCCACTCCTTGTAGTACAAGGACTCAAGGAACTTCACATCCCTCGACACAGTCAGCTGCTGGCTGGTCAAGTCCCATATCAACCAGCCCTTGTGATCCTTAGCAAGCCCCAAGTGCACACCCCATCTCCCAGAAGCCTCCAACTTTCCCCTCTTCTCTTTCGGCACATGAAACACCACCATGCAGCCGTAGGCTCTCAGCATGTTGACTGCTGGTGCACTCCCATACCACTTGGTGTAGGGGATCCACTGCTTGTCCCCCATAGTCGCCAGCACCCTGTTCTTCACAACGACGACCTGCCTCAGTGCAGTCACCCAAAACGGATCCGGCAGCCCTGCACGCCCAAGGAGAGTGCGAGCACCTTCCTGCAGGATCCGGTTGAATCGCTCAGCCACGCCATTCTGCTGCGGGTTGTAGGGCACTGTAAGTTGATGCTGAATCCCCTTCTTCTTCAGCACTGCCTCAAAATCAGCACCAATGAACTCTCCCCCGTTGTCGGTGCGGATCACCTTCACCTTGTGTCCGCTCTCCCTTTGAGCTCTCGACATCCACTCCTTAAGAACAGCCGCTGCCACCTCCCCCTTAGTCTTGAGAGGGTAGACCCACACCGCAATTCGTAGTGGCACCTGTGCAAGGTCCACGGGGGGGAGGGGCGGGAGAGAGAGGAGGACGAGAGGAGAAGAGGAAATGCGGGTCAGGGGAGGTGCTATGAGGGGCAGGGCAGGGGGGTGATGATAGCAGCAAGCACTGCAATAAGAGCCGCAGCATAAGCAAGCAAAGCTCATTCCCCCCCACCTCCATGCGCATTTCCCCCCTGCACCGCACACCACCCCACCCCACCCAACACACTCACCATGTCGTGGCCGGCAGTTGGTGAGCTCGATGGAGGTGGCGACTCCCTCCCCCGCCATCTCCCTGACATGGCGGAACGGACGGCACGAGCAAACGGGGCAAAGCATGGGCAAAGGGGGCAACGCATGAGCAGAGGGGGAAAGGCATGGGCAGGGAGAACGGCATGAGCAGAGGGGGAAAGGCATGGGCAGGGAGAACGGCATGAGCAGAGGGGGAAAGGCATGCGCAAGGCGGGAATGCATGGGAAAGGCGGAAAGGCATGCGCAAGGCGCAAAGGCATGCGCAAGGCGGAAAGGCATGCGCAAGGCGGAAAGGCATGGGGAAGGCGGAAAGGCATGGGGAAGGCGGAAATGCATGGGCAAGGCGGAAAGGCAGGGGAAAGGCGGACATGCATGCGCAAGGCGGAAAGGCATGGGAAAAGGGGGGAACGGCGCGCTGACCTGCTCCGCGTGCAGCATGCTCGCCGGTGCTGTCCGCGCGGCCAGCAGCGCGCGCGGCGCTACCTGGTGAGCGCGGTGGGCGCCGTCACGGCGGGTGGAGCGGCGGCGGGTAGGCGCTGCTACGCTGGAGCCTGTCGTCCCTGCACAGCAAGGGGAGGGAGGGGCAGAGGGAGAGCGGAGGAAGGGACGGAGGGAGAGAGCAACGAGAAACCAAGAAAGGCAAGAGGGGTTGAGGACTGAAGTGAACTGTTTGGAAAGAATGCTCACGTAGGAGAGAAATGGGAAACATAACGGGAATTCCAGGGAGAAAACAGATAAAGAGGACAAAACGAAATAAAGTAATAAAACAGTAGAACAAAACGGATTTTGCATGGCGCATGGCACACATGCAGTCGCATGGCGCACATGCAATCGCGTGCTCATGAAATTTCAGCGTGCGCACATGCAGTGACAGTGCGCACCTGCTGGAGGGAGGAATAAGGGCCCTCCCACAGTGCGGGAGGGATCCGCCGCCTATGTTGAATCCCATGGGGGAAGGAATTCGAAGTCTAACGTGGGGAAGGCATTTAAGACCACTGATCGAGATGGGAGAGAAGGAATGGAGATCGGGAGAGCGGAAAAACGGAGACTAACGTGGGAGACGAAATTAGGAGATGAGCTGCGACCGATATGGGAGAGAATGAGTGGATCGGGGGAGCGGAGCTATGGAAAGTAACGTGGAAAATAATGGAGTTGAGATCGAAATGGGATGGGGATGGGATTGGGAGAGAAGCAAGGAAGGAGGAGTGGAGGAGATCGGGAGAGGAGTTGGAGAGGAGAGCAAGCAAGCAGATTTTGTTGACTCTCGCCACTGTAGCGCGAAATGACCAGCACCCTCGCCTCGGTCACCAAAACAGAAACGAATTGCAACTCTTCATACAAAAAAGGAACACTCCTCACCCTGGAACATGTAAACCTAAAACGAAAATAAGAGTGTACACCTAGAATCCACCTGCCCTGCACCAAAAAAACGATGGTGGGGACCAAATCTCAGAATTCACACACATTGCAAACCAAGTCGCGGAGCACAACACAAGCCTCCAATCCAAATCAAGTCGCTAAACACAAGTCGCGAAACATCCCACCGGTCCAATCAAACAGCACAAGCCATGCCAGCTAGCGCGGTCTGGGAAGTGACAGAAACGAGACTCGGATGATGTACAATCCAATATACAGTCATTGGTGCAGCGCTGGCGCGCTGCGCGATCCGCCTGGTGCCTGCAAACTTACTTTCTTATCAATCTATTCCCATGTACATGGGAATAGATTGATAAGAATGTAAGTTTGCATTTTCCTGGTTTATGTTTTCCTTCACGATGCATGCATTGTTATAAGCAAATATTCCAGAAAACAAGTGGGCTGACCCTGGTGTTGGTTGGTACATCTGCAGCAAAATCTTAGGCTAGCTAGTTCCTAGCTACCTATTTTTTAGCTATCTATTTGCTAGCTACCTAATTCCTGGCTAGTTATAGCCTGGCCTTGCCAATTCCTAGCTAGCCAATTTCTGGCCTGCCAACTCCTTGCTAACTCCTAGCCAATTCCTAGCTTGCTATTTCCTAGCTAGTAGCTAGTTAATTCCTAGCCAGCCAAATCATAGCTGGTAACTAGTTCCTAGCCAGCCACATCCTAGCAAGCTAATCCCTAGCTAGCTGCCGTAATTCCTAGTCAACCAAATCCTAACTACCGTAGCTAATTTGTAGATAGTTTACTACTCCTGGCTAACCTACGAGAAAGGGGCATCTGCGAGGGCGTGTTCCGGCTTCGTCTGTACGCGGTAAACACGATTGGATGTATCAGGGATGTGTCAGGAAGATGCTTCCTTGTGTCACACTCATTGTGGAGTTGATGAAAAGACTGACGTTGCAGATAATGACACCATCTCAAATCGACACGCAACAGGGCCTGGCCTGCAATCGTGCCAACCAAGCGATGGCCCGATACAAACACAGAGACTCAAAAGCTTGAAGCAATCTAATTCAGTAACGCACCACTCCATGCGCTTGACATTGATGTCATTCAACACAGAAACCTTGGTCGTCACGATGCAAGTGTGTAACACTCTATCATGCAGTTGCTTGAACCTAGTTTCACATCAACACGAAGCCACAAGGTACTTTATACGATACCTTGTGCACACCGATGCTGCTCTACTCTAAATATCCAACCTCAGCATTCACCTAGGAGGCGGAATCCCTCCACCACCCGCACTGATATCATCCAGCTCAATCGTCCTATACTTCTGCGAAACCAGCTCCGCCTGCACCTTCCTGGCTGTATCGGTAGCGCATCCGACTAAAATGAGGATGGACGTTCCAGCAAACCCCCGGAAGGCCGTGAGGTGAGTGATTCCTTCCACAAGAGCCGGCGCTGCTGCCATCGTGCCGAGAAACGCCGACCCGAGCACCGAAATGCGGGTGAGGACCTGGTGTTAAGTAGGTAAAGAAGCAAGAGTAATGGGGAGAAAGGGAGAAGGGGATGGGAGGGGGAAGGAGAAGCCAAAGAGGGAAAGGAAACACGAGTGGGGAAAGGGCTGAGAGGGAGCCGGCCAGGAGTCATCATGGAGTGTTTGCGAGGCCAAACGGAGCTTGGTGATGAGCATGGCTGCTGCCTTGCCAGGCCTGGTGTAGGCCACAGACGCGCCCTGCCTCTTGAGAAAGTGGGCCGTATGCCGGATTTACGAACGTACAATGAGTGAACAAGGGCGACTCACCTTGGTGATGAGTGCGGCTGTTGCTTTGCCGGGCCTCGTGTTGGGTACGGACGCACCCTGTCTCTTGAGCTGGTCGCTGACATCAGCAGGGTCGAGTTGCAGGAAGGTGTAGAAGTAGTTGAAGAAGGCAATGAGTGCCACGTTGGCGGGGAGGTAGAAGAAACCTGGGGATTAGCGGAACACATGGGGAGAGAGGATGTTGATTGAAGATGCAAGGAGAAAGAAAGGAGAAGGAGCGAGTAAGTGAGTTGCAGGAAGGTGTAGAAGTAGTTGAGAAAGGCGAACAGTGCCACGTTAGCAGGCAGATAGAAGAAACCTGGAGATTAGCGGAACACATGGGGAGAGAGGATGTTGATTGAAGATGCAAGGAGAAAGAAAGGAGAAGGAGCGAGTAAGTGAGTTGCAGGAAGGTGTGGAAGTAGTTGAGAAAGGCGAACAGTGCCACGTTAGCAGGCAGATAGAAGAAACCTGGAGATTAGCGGAACACATGGGGAGAGAGGATGTTGATTGAAGATGCAAGGAGAAAGAAAGGAGAAGGAGCGAGTAAGTGAGTTGCAGGAAGGTGTGGAAGTAGTTGAAGAATGCAATCAGTGCCACGTTGGCGGGGAGGTAGAAGAAACCTGGGGATGAGTGGAGCAGGGAAATCAAAGGGAGTGGAGGAGGGAGAGGGAGCAGGGAGAGGAGTGAGTGAGTTGCAGGAAGGTGTAGAAGTAGTTGAAGAATGCGATGAGTGCCACGTTGGCAGGCGGGTAGAGGAGACCTGGGGATTAGTGGAACACATGGCGGTAAAAAGAGTGAGAGGATGACGGAAAAGCAGAGTGATAAATTTGCAGTAAGGTGTAGAAGTAGTTGAAGAAAGCGATCAGTGCCACGTTGGCAGGCAGATAGATCGGTAAAGCGAGCTATGGAGTAGGGAGCAGGAGCAGTCTGGTTACCCTATTACTGACCTGTGGTTACCATGTAACATACCTCCAGGGTAGAGAGCTGTAGCAGCGGACTGGAAAGCAGCACTTCCGGTAAAGCGAGCGATGGAGTAGGGAGCAGCGAGGAGCGAGGAAGAGAAGATAATTGGCATGACTCCCGTTGAGTTGACCTGCAGAGGGGGGAAGAGGAAGAGACGGGTAGAGGGTAGATGAGAAAGATGTTGATCCGAGAGGGTGGAACATAAGAAAGACGAAGGAGAGAGGAGGAGAAGACGATTGGCATGACTTTCGTTGAGTTGACCTGCGGGGGGGATTAGAGGTTGGATAAGAGAAAAGAGGTGGTTGTGAGAGAGGGGTGGTTGGAGAGAATGGGTAGATGAGAGAGAAAGGAACGGCAGATAATTGAGAAGAGAGGAGTAAACGTGAGGCATGGCTTCTGTTGAGTTGAGTGTGGGGGTTGGTGGGGGGGGGGGGGGGAAGGGTGAGTGAGTGAGGGGTCGATGCAAGAAAAAGAAAGCGGTGTGTTACATTCGCGGGAGAGATGCTACCTTCGAGGGGGAGGTGTTACCTTCCAGGGGGAGGTGCTGCCTTTCAGGGGGAGGTGTAACCTTCCAGAGGGAGGTGCTGCCTTTCAGGGGGAGGTGTTGCCTTTCAGGGGGAGGTGTTACCTTGAATGGCAGGTACGCATTCCGCGTCTTGATGTTGTACCGAGACGCATAGTTGATTGGAATACGCCGCTCTGCCTCCTGCTCGGTGGAAGGGATTAAGTTGTGGTGGTGGTGGGGGTGGTGGGGGTGGTAGGGGGAGTGGGAAGAACGGAGAAAAGAGGACGGGGAATTTGAATTGGTTGTATCGAGACACATAGTTGACGGGAATACGCCGCTCTGCTTCCTGCTTGGAGGGAAAGGGGTAGTGGATAGGGTAGAGGGTGGGAGGGGAAGGGGAGGAGAGGGTAGAAAGAGAGTAGAGGGTGAGAGGGTGCATGGGGTTGGTTGTACCGTTATGCGTAGTTGATGGGGATGTGACACTCTGCCTCCTACTCGGAGGGAAGGGGGAAGTTGGAGCTGGTTGTAGCGGCACATAGTTGCTGGGAATGCGACTCCCCGCCTTCTGCTCAGAAGGCTGGCAGGCAGGCCGGCAGAGAGGCATAGAGCAGGAACCCACCTGCACCCATTCACACCCACCTGCACGTAGACAATCCCAAGGACGAGCAGCAGGAAGGAGGCCAGCAGCAGCGCCTCGCCGGTAACGTTCCCCTGCTCAGACGCCTCTGTGATGCAGGTAGGCAGGCAGGAGGAATATAGCACACCCATCCACACCCATCTGTACCGCACCCACCTGCACGTAGACGATGCCGAACACGAGCAGCAGGAAGGACGCGAGCAGCAGCGCCTCTCCGGTCACATTCCCTTGTTCAGAAGCCTCTGTGATCGTCCTCCCAATGGACGCCGGCAGGTAGGAAACGATATTGGTGAAGATGAGCAGAGAGGTGCCGTTGCCGAGCTTGAGATCAGTGATCTTGTCTCCCAGCAGGATGACTGCCACGGATCCCAAAGTGAGGCCCGAGACGGCGGAGACTGCCCAGGCGACCGACGGGTCGTAGGCGTACTGCTGTAGATATGCCACCTGTCCGATAGCCTGGGAGGAGGGCGAGAGGCAGGGAGGAAGGGAGAGCTTGAGGTGGGTGATCCTGTCTCCCAGGAGGATGACTGCCACGGATCCGACAGTCAGGCCTGAGACGGCTGAGACTGCCCAGGCGACCGAGGGGTCGTAGGCGTACTGCTGCAGATATGCCACCTGTCCGATTGCCTGGGAGGGGGGCGAGAGGCAGGGAGGAAGGGAGAGCTTGAGGTGGGTGATCCTGTCTCCCAGGAGGATGACTGCCACGGATCCGACAGTCAGGCCTGAGACGGCTGAGACTGCCCAAGCGACTGATGGGTCGTATGCGTACTGCTGCAGGTAGGCCACTTGGCCGATAGCCTGGGGAGTGGAGGGGGGCAGGGAGAAGGAGAGCTTGAGGTGGGTCGGTGATCTTGTCTCCCCGCAGTGGGGCGACTGAGGGGTCATATGCGTACAACTGGAGGTAGGCCACTTGGCCTATGGCCTGGGGAGTGGAGGGGGAAGAATAGGGTGGGAAGCGGTGGGGTTGGGTTGAGGAGGGGCGACTGAGTGGTCGTATGCGTACTGCTGGAGGTAGGCCACTTGGCCGATAGCCTGTTGGCAGTGGAGGGGGGCAGGGAGAAGGAGAGCTTGAGGTGGGTCGGTGATCTTGTCTCCCCGCACGATGACTGCTACGGACCCGAGGCGCTCGTAATCTAGTAAAGACAAGAAGAATGTAATGAAATCAGGTAACGTACCTGCAGGGCACCGAACGCCACAGCCATATACTTCATGTACTGCTGCGCTTTCTTCCTCCCCGCCTCCCCCTCCTTCTTCTGCAGATCCCCAATCTTAGGGTACAGCGTCCCCAGCAGCTGGAACACGATCTGAGCGTTGATATACGGCACGATGCCCAGCGAAAACAATCCCAGCCGTCCAATCCCGCCCCCTGAGAGCGTGTCTAGGGTGGCCAGGAATGAGCCCTCCCCCAGTTGCTCCTGGAAGGCGGAGATATCGACGCCCCACAGGGGAATGTAGATTCCCACGCGGGATAGCGCGAGCAGACCCAGGAGCATGAGGAATTTCTTGGGTAAATCGCCCTTGAAAAAGTCGCCGATGTCGATCTTGCTGTCCTCCACTGGAAAGGTGGTGCGGGTCAGGTCAGGGGAGAGGTGGAAACGGGAGGCAGAGGGGGGAGAAAGAGGAGGGAGAACAAGGCAGAGAAAGGCAGAGAGATATAGTGGGAAGGCGGGGAGGAGGGATGAGGGAGAGATTGAAGCAGGGGAGGAAAAAAGGAAGAGGGAATTCGGTTTAGTCTTTTTTTTTTCCCTCGCCCCCCCAAGTCCCCCAAGTCCCCCCCCCCCTCCCCCCCACCCGGGGGGGGATGGAGGGTGGGGGAGAGGGGACAGGGGGGACGGGAGGGTGGGAGGAAAGGAATAACATTCTGATGTATGTATTGAAATAATATCACAATCAAGAATCACGGAATATTCTCTCAAATTCAAGCTAGAATCAGCCAACCAGGCTTTGTGACTGTGACTGTAATGAAGGTGGCTGTAATGAAGGCGACTCGACCCGGGGGTTACTGCAATGAAGGCGACTCGACTCGGGGGTGACTGCAATGAAGGCGACTCGACTCGGGGGTGACTGCAATGAAGGCGACTCGACTCGGGGGTGACTGCAATGAAGGCGACTCGACTCGGGGGTGACTGTAATGAATGCGACTCGACCCGGGATTGACTGTAATGAAGGCGACTCGACTCGCGGTCGGCGTGACTATAACCAAGTTCAGGGCGGCATGGCCAGCCTCCTGTCAAGAGAGCATGCCACGTCAGCACTTGTTGCCACGTCAGCAGGACCTGGGTTGAGGTAGGGCCTGGGTCCGGTTCGGGTATGGGCTGCCTCACGTCTCTGCCCCGGGCCTCACGTCTCTGCCCCGGGCCTCACATCTCTGCCCCGGGCCTCACGTCTCTGCCCCGGGCCTCACATCTCTGCCCCGGGCCTCACATCTCTGCCCCGGGCCTCACGTCTCTGCCCCGGGCCTCACGTCTCTGCCCCGGGCCTCACATCTCTGCCCCGGGCCTCACATCTCTGCCCCGGGCCTCACATCTCTGCCCCGAGCCTCACATCTCTGCCCCGGGCCTCAATACCTACCATAACCAACAAACACCACCTAACATTATCTACCACAGAAACATAACATAATCCTAAACAGCACCTAAGTAAGTTTGATGCATTTTTTGTGAACATTTCTAGACATTACTACGGTACGGGGAATCTTTATCGCACCTGCAATTCGTAGTGGCACCTGTGCAAGGTCCACGGGGGGGAGGGGCGGGAGAGAGAGGAGGACGAGAGGAGAAGAGGAAATGCGGGTCAGGGGAGGTGCTATGAGGGGCGGGGCAGGGGGGTGATGATAGCAGCAAGCACTGCAATAAGAGCCGCAGCATAAGCAAGCAAAGCTCATTCCCCCCCACCTCCATGCGCATTTCCCCCCTGCACCGCACACCACCCCACCCCACCCAACACACTCACCATGTCGTGGCCGGCAGTTGGTGAGCTCGATGGAGGTGGCGACTCCCTCCCCCGCCATCTCCCTGACATGGCGGAACGGACGGCACGAGCAAACGGGGCAAAGCATGGGCAAAGGGGGCAACGCATGAGCAGAGGGGGAAAGGCATGGGCAGGGAGAACGGCATGAGCAGAGGGGGAAAGGCATGGGCAGGGAGAACGGCATGAGCAGAGGGGGAAAGGCATGCGCAAGGCGGGAATGCATGGGAAAGGCGGAAAGGCATGCGCAAGGCGGAAAGGCATGCGCAAGGCGGAAAGGCATGCGCAAGGCGGAAAGGCATGGGGAAGGCGGAAAGGCATGGGGAAGGCGGAAATGCATGGGCAAGGCGGAAAGGCAGGGGAAAGGCGGACATGCATGCGCAAGGCGGAAAGGCATGGGAAAAGGGGGGAACGGCGCGCTGACCTGCTCCGCGTGCAGCATGCTCGCCGGTGCTGTCCGCGCGGCCAGCAGCGCGCGCGGCGCTACCTGGTGAGCGCGGTGGGCGCCGTCACGGCGGGTGGAGCGGCGGCGGGTAGGCGCTGCTACGCTGGAGCCTGTCGTCCCTGCACAGCAAGGGGAGGGAGGGGCAGAGGGAGAGCGGAGGAAGGGACGGAGGGAGAGAGCAACGAGAAACCAAGAAAGGCAAGAGGGGTTGAGGACTGAAGTGAACTGTTTGGAAAGAATGCTCACGTAGGAGAGAAATGGGAAACATAACGGGAATTCCAGGGAGAAAACAGATAAAGAGGACAAAACGAAATAAAGTAATAAAACAGTAGAACAAAACGGATTTTGCATGGCGCATGGCACACATGCAGTCGCATGGCGCACATGCAATCGCGTGCTCATGAAATTTCAGCGTGCGCACATGCAGTGACAGTGCGCACCTGCTGGAGGGAGGAATAAGGGCCCTCCTACAGTGCGGGAGGGATCCACCGCCTATGTTGAATCCCATGGGGGAAGGAATTCGAAGTCTAACGTGGGGAAGGCATTTAAGACCACTTATCGAGATGGGAGAGAAGGAATGGAGATCGGGAGAGCGGAAAAACGGAGACTAACGTGGGAGACGAAATTAGGAGATGAGCTGCGACCGATATGGGAGAGAATGAGTGGATCGGGAGAGCGGAGCTATGGAAAGTAACGTGGAAAATAATGGAGTTGAGATCGAAATGGGATGGGGATGGGATTGGGAGAGAAGCAAGGAAGGAGGAGTGGAGGAGATCGGGAGAGGAGTTGGAGAGGAGAGCAAGCAAGCAGATTTTGTTGACTCTCGCTACTGTAGCGCGAAATGACCAGCACCCTCGCCTCGGTCACCAAAACAGAAACGAATTGCAACTCTTCATACAAAAAAGGAACACTCCTCACCCTGGAACATGTAAACCTAAAACGAAAATAAGAGTGTACACCTAGAATCCACCTGCCCTGCACCAAAAAAACGATGGTGGGGACCAAATCTCAGAATTCACACACATTGCAAACCAAGTCGCGGAGCACAACACAAGCCTCCAATCCAAATCAAGTCGCTAAACACAAGTCGCGAAACATCCCACCGGTCCAATCAAACAGCACAAGCCATGCCAGCTAGCGCGGTCTGGGAAGTGACAGAAACGAGACTCGGATGATGTACAATCCAATATACAGTCATTGGTGCAGCGCTGGCGCGCTGCGCGATCCGCCTGGTGCCTGCAAACTTACTTTCTTATCAATCTATTCCCATGTACATGAGAATAGATTGATAAGAATGTAAGTTTGCATTTTCCTGGTTTATGTTTTCCTTCACGATGCATGCATTGTTATAAGCAAATATTCCAGAAAACAAGTGGGCTGACCCTGGTGTTGGTTGGTACATCTGCAGCAAAATCTTAGGCTAGCTAGTTCCTAGCTACCTATTTTTTAGCTATCTATTTGCTAGCTACCTAATTCCTGGCTAGTTATAGCCTGGCCTTGCCAATTCCTAGCTAGCCAATTTCTGGCCTGCCAACTCCTTGCTAACTCCTAGCCAATTCCTAGCTTGCTATTTCCTAGCTAGTAGCTAGTTAATTCCTAGCCAGCCAAATCATAGCTGGTAACTAGTTCCTAGCCAGCCACATCCTAGCAAGCTAATCCCTAGCTAGCTGCCGTAATTCCTAGTCAACCAAATCCTAACTACCGTAGCTAATTTGTAGATAGTTTACTACTCCTGGCTAACCTACGAGAAAGGGGCATCTGCGAGGGCGTGTTCCGGACTTCGTCTGTACGCGGTAAACACGATTGGATGTATCAGGGATGTGTCAGGAAGATGCTTCCTTGTGTCACACTCATTGTGGAGTTGATGAAAAGACTGACGTTGCAGATAATGACACCATCTCAAATCGACACGCAACAGGGCCTGGCCTGCAATCGTGCCAACCAAGCGATGGCCCGATACAAACACAGAGACTCAAAAGCTTGAAGCAATCTAATTCAGTAACGCACCACTCCATGCGCTTGACATTGATGTCATTCAACACAGAAACCTTGGTCGTCACGATGCAAGTGTGTAACACTCTATCATGCAGTTGCTTGAACCTAGTTTCACATCAACACGAAGCCACAAGGTACTTTATACGATACCTTGTGCACACCGATGCTGCTCTACTCTAAATATCCAGCCTCAGCATTCACCTAGGAGGCGGAATCCCTCCACCACCCGCACTGATATCATCCAGCTCAATCGTCCTATACTTCTGCGAAACCAGCTCCGCCTGCACCTTCCTGGCTGTATCGGTAGCGCATCCGACTAAAATGAGGATGGACGTTCCAGCAAACCCCCGGAAGGCCGTGAGGTGAGTGATTCCTTCCACAAGAGCCGGCGCTGCTGCCATCAGTGCCGAGAAACGCCGACCCGAGCACCGAAATGCGGGTGAGGACCTGGTGTTAAGTAGTTAAAGAAGCAAGAGTAATGGGGAGAAAGGGAGAAGGGGATGGGAGGGGGAAGGAGAAGCCAAAGAGGGAAAGGAAACACGAGTGGGGAAAGGGCTGAGAGGGAGCCGGCCAGGAGTCATCATGGAGTGTTTGCGAGGCCAAACGGAGCTTGGTGATGAGCATGGCTGCTGCCTTGCCAGGCCTGGTGTAGGCCACAGACGCGCCCTGCCTCTTGAGAAAGTGGGCCGTATGCCGGATTTACGAACGTACAATGAGTGAACAAGGGCGACTCACCTTGGTGATGAGTGCGGCTGTTGCTTTGCCGGGCCTCGTGTTGGGTACGGACGCACCCTGCCTCTTGAGCTGGTCGCTGACATCAGCAGGGTCGAGTTGCAGGAAGGTGTAGAAGTAGTTGAAGAAGGCAATGAGTGCCACGTTGGCGGGGAGGTAGAAGAAACCTGGGGATTAGCGGAACACATGGGGAGAGAGGATGTTGATTGAAGATGCAAGGAGAAAGAAAGGAGAAGGAGCGAGTAAGTGAGTTGCAGGAAGGTGTAGAAGTAGTTGAGAAAGGCGAACAGTGCCACGTTAGCAGGCAGATAGAAGAAACCTGGAGATTAGCGGAACACATGGGGAGAGAGGATGTTGATTGAAGATGCAAGGAGAAAGAAAGGAGAAGGAGCGAGTAAGTGAGTTGCAGGAAGGTGTGGAAGTAGTTGAGAAAGGCGAACAGTGCCACGTTAGCAGGCAGATAGAAGAAACCTGGAGATTAGCGGAACACATGGGGAGAGAGGATGTTGATTGAAGATGCAAGGAGAAAGAAAGGAGAAGGAGCGAGTAAGTGAGTTGCAGGAAGGTGTGGAAGTAGTTGAAGAATGCAATCAGTGCCACGTTGGCGGGGAGGTAGAAGAAACCTGGGGATGAGTGGAGCAGGGAAATCAAAGGGAGTGGAGGAGGGAGAGGGAGCAGGGAGAGGAGTGAGTGAGTTGCAGGAAGGTGTAGAAGTAGTTGAAGAATGCGATGAGTGCCACGTTGGCAGGCGGGTAGAGGAGACCGTGGGGATTAGTGGAACACATGGTGGTAAAAAGAGTGAGAGGATGACGGAAAAGCAGAGTGATAAATTTGCAGTAAGGTGTAGAAGTAGTTGAAGAAAGCGATCAGTGCCACGTTGGCAGGCAGATAGATCGGTAAAGCGAGCTATGGAGTAGGGAGCAGGAGCAGTCTGGTTACCCTATTACTGACCTGTGGTTACCATGTAACATACCTCCAGGGTAGAGAGCTGTAGCAGCGGACTGGAAAGCAGCACTTCCGGTAAAGCGAGCGATGGAGTAGGGAGCAGCGAGGAGCGAGGAAGAGAAGATAATTGGCATGACTCCCGTTGAGTTGACCTGCAGAGGGGGGAAGAGGAAGAGACGGGTAGAGGGTAGATGAGAAAGATGTTGATCCGAGAGGGTGGAACATAAGAAAGACAAAGGAGAGAGGAGGAGAAGACGATTGGCATGACTTTCGTTGAGTTGACCTGCGGGGGGGATTAGAGGTTGGATAAGAGAAAAGAGGTGGTTGTGAGAGAGGGGTGGTTGGAGAGAATGGGTAGATGAGAGAGAAAGGAACGGCAGATAATTGAGAAGAGAGGAGTAAACGTGAGGCATGGCTTCTGTTGAGTTGAGTGTGGGGGTTGGTGGGGGGGGGGGGGGGAAGGGTGAGTGAGTGAGGGGTCGATGCAAGAAAAAGAAAGCGGTGTGTTACATTCGCGGGAGAGATGCTACCTTCGAGGGGGAGGTGTTACCTTCCAGGGGGAGGTGCTGCCTTTCAGGGGGAGGTGTAACCTTCCAGAGGGAGGTGCTGCCTTTCAGGGGGAGGTGTTGCCTTTCAGGGGGAGGTGTTACCTTGAATGGCAGGTACGCATTCCGCGTCTTGATGTTGTACCGAGACGCATAGTTGATTGGAATACGCCGCTCTGCCTCCTGCTCGGTGGAAGGGATTAAGTTGTGGTGGTGGTGGGGGTGGTGGGGGTGGTAGGGGGAGTGGGAAGAACGGAGAAAAGAGGACGGGGAATTTGAATTGGTTGTATCGAGACACATAGTTGACGGGAATACGCCGCTCTGCTTCCTGCTTGGAGGGAAAGGGGTAGTGGATAGGGTAGAGGGTGGGAGGGGAAGGGGAGGAGAGGGTAGAAAGAGAGTAGAGGGTGAGATGGTGCATGGGGTTGGTTGTACCGTTATGCGTAGTTGATGGGGATGTGACACTCTGCCTCCTACTCGGAGGGAAGGGGGAAGTTGGAGCTGGTTGTAGCGGCACATAGTTGTTGGGAATGCGACTCCCCGCCTTCTGCTCAGAAGGCTGGCAGGCAGGCCGGCAGAGAGGCATAGAGCAGGAACCCACCTGCACCCATTCACACCCACCTGCACGTAGACAATCCCAAGGACGAGCAGCAGGAAGGAGGCCAGCAGCAGCGCCTCGCCGGTAACGTTCCCCTGCTCAGACGCCTCTGTGATGCAGGTAGGCAGGCAGGAGGAATATAGCACACCCATCCACACCCATCTGTACCGCACCCACCTGCACGTAGACGATGCCGAACACGAGCAGCAGGAAGGACGCGAGCAGCAGCGCCTCTCCGGTCACATTCCCTTGTTCAGAAGCCTCTGTGATCGTCCTCCCAATGGACGCCGGCAGGTAGGAAACGATATTGGTGAAGATGAGCAGAGAGGTGCCGTTGCCGAGCTTGAGATCAGTGATCTTGTCTCCCAGCAGGATGACTGCCACGGATCCCAAAGTGAGGCCCGAGACGGCGGAGACTGCCCAGGCGACCGACGGGTCGTAGGCGTACTGCTGTAGATATGCCACCTGTCCGATAGCCTGGGAGGAGGGCGAGAGGCAGGGAGGAAGGGAGAGCTTGAGGTGGGTGATCCTGTCTCCCAGGAGGATGACTGCCACGGATCCGACAGTCAGGCCTGAGACGGCTGAGACTGCCCAGGCGACCGAGGGGTCGTAGGCGTACTGCTGCAGATATGCCACCTGTCCGATTGCCTGGGAGGAGGGCGAGAGGCAGGGAGGAAGGGAGAGCTTGAGGTGGGTGATCCTGTCTCCCAGGAGGATGACTGCCACGGATCCGACAGTCAGGCCTGAGACGGCTGAGACTGCCCAAGCGACTGATGGGTCGTATGCGTACTGCTGCAGGTAGGCCACTTGGCCGATAGCCTGGGGAGTGGAGGGGGGCAGGGAGAAGGAGAGCTTGAGGTGGGTCGGTGATCTTGTCTCCCCGCAGTGGGGCGACTGAGGGGTCGTATGCGTACAACTGGAGGTAGGCCACTTGGCCTATGGCCTGGGGAGTGGAGGGGGAAGAATAGGGTGGGAAGCGGTGGGGTTGGGTTGAGGAGGGGCGACTGAGTGGTCGTATGCGTACTGCTGGAGGTAGGCCACTTGGCCGATAGCCTGTTGGCAGTGGAGGGGGGCAGGGAGAAGGAGAGCTTGAGGTGGGTCGGTGATCTTGTCTCCCCGCACGATGACTGCTACGGACCCGAGGCGCTCGTAATCTAGTAAAGACAAGAAGAATGTAATGAAATCAGGTAACGTACCTGCAGGGCACCGAACGCCACAGCCATATACTTCATGTACTGCTGCGCTTTCTTCCTCCCCGCCTCCCCCTCCTTCTTCTGCAGATCCCCAATCTTAGGGTACAGCGTCCCCAGCAGCTGGAACACGATCTGAGCGTTGATATACGGCACGATGCCCAGCGAAAACAATCCCAGCCGTCCAATCCCGCCCCCTGAGAGCGTGTCTAGGGTGGCCAGGAATGAGCCCTCCCCCAGTTGCTCCTGGAAGGCGGAGATATCGACGCCCCACAGGGGAATGTAGATTCCCACGCGGGATAGCGCGAGCAGACCCAGGAGCATGAGGAATTTCTTGGGTAAATCGCCCTTGAAAAAGTCGCCGATGTCGATCTTGCTGTCCTCCACTGGAAAGGTGGTGCGGGTCAGGTCAGGGGAGAGGTGGAAACGGGAGGCAGAGGGGGGAGAAAGAGGAGGGAGAACAAGGCAGAGAAAGGCAGAGAGATATAGTGGGAAGGCGGGGAGGAGGGATGAGGGAGAGATTGAAGCAGGGGAGGAAAAAAGGAAGAGGGAATTCGGTTTAGTCTTTTTTTTTTCCCTCGCCCCCCCAAGTCCCCCAAGTCCCCCCCCCCCTCCCCCCCACCCGGGGGGGGATGGAGGGTGGGGGAGAGGGGACAGGGGGGACGGGAGGGTGGGAGGAAAGGAATAACATTCTGATGTATGTATTGAAATAATATCACAATCAAGAATCACGGAATATTCTCTCAAATTCAAGCTAGAATCAGCCAACCAGGCTTTGTGACTGTGACTGTAATGAAGGTGGCTGTAATGAAGGCGACTCGACCCGGGGGTTACTGCAATGAAGGCGACTCGACTCGGGGGTGACTGCAATGAAGGCGACTCGACTCGGGGGTGACTGCAATGAAGGCGACTCGACTCGGGGGTGACTGCAATGAAGGCGACTCGACTCGGGGGTGACTGTAATGAATGCGACTCGACCCGGGATTGACTGTAATGAAGGCGACTCGACTCGCGGTCGGCGTGACTATAACCAAGTTCAGGGCGGCATGGCCAGCCTCCTGTCAAGAGAGCATGCCACGTCAGCACTTGTTGCCACGTCAGCAGGACCTGGGTTGAGGTAGGGCCTGGGTCCGGTTCGGGTATGGGCTGCCTCACGTCTCTGCCCCGGGCCTCACGTCTCTGCCCCGGGCCTCACATCTCTGCCCCGGGCCTCACGTCTCTGCCCCGGGCCTCACATCTCTGCCCCGGGCCTCACATCTCTGCCCCGGGCCTCACGTCTCTGCCCCGGGCCTCACGTCTCTGCCCCGGGCCTCACATCTCTGCCCCGGGCCTCACATCTCTGCCCCGGGCCTCACATCTCTGCCCCGGGCCTCAATACCTACCATAACCAACAAACACCACCTAACATTATCTACCACAGAAACATAACATAATCCTAAACAGCACCTAAGTAAGTTTGATGCATTTTTTGTGAACATTTCTAGACATTACTACGGTACGGGGAATCTTTATCGCACCTGCAATTCGTAGTGGCACCTGTGCAAGGTCCACGGGGGGGAGGGGCGGGAGAGAGAGGAGGACGAGAGGAGAAGAGGAAATGCGGGTCAGGGGAGGTGCTATGAGGGGCAGGGCAGGGGGGTGATGATAGCAGCAAGCACTGCAATAAGAGCCGCAGCATAAGCAAGCAAAGCTCATTCCCCCCCACCTCCATGCGCATTTCCCCCCTGCACCGCACACCACCCCACCCCACCCAACACACTCACCATGTCGTGGCCGGCAGTTGGTGAGCTCGATGGAGGTGGCGACTCCCTCCCCCGCCATCTCCCTGACATGGCGGAACGGACGGCACGAGCAAACGGGGCAAAGCATGGGCAAAGGGGGCAACGCATGAGCAGAGGGGGAAAGGCATGGGCAGGGAGAACGGCATGAGCAGAGGGGGAAAGGCATGGGCAGGGAGAACGGCATGAGCAGAGGGGGAAAGGCATGCGCAAGGCGGGAATGCATGGGAAAGGCGGAAAGGCATGCGCAAGGCGGAAAGGCATGCGCAAGGCGGAAAGGCATGCGCAAGGCGGAAAGGCATGGGGAAGGCGGAAAGGCATGGGGAAGGCGGAAATGCATGGGCAAGGCGGAAAGGCAGGGGAAAGGCGGACATGCATGCGCAAGGCGGAAAGGCATGGGAAAAGGGGGGAACGGCGCGCTGACCTGCTCCGCGTGCAGCATGCTCGCCGGTGCTGTCCGCGCGGCCAGCAGCGCGCGCGGCGCTACCTGGTGAGCGCGGTGGGCGCCGTCACGGCGGGTGGAGCGGCGGCGGGTAGGCGCTGCTACGCTGGAGCCTGTCGTCCCTGCACAGCAAGGGGAGGGAGGGGCAGAGGGAGAGCGGAGGAAGGGACGGAGGGAGAGAGCAACGAGAAACCAAGAAAGGCAAGAGGGGTTGAGGACTGAAGTGAACTGTTTGGAAAGAATGCTCACGTAGGAGAGAAATGGGAAACATAACGGGAATTCCAGGGAGAAAACAGATAAAGAGGACAAAACGAAATAAAGTAATAAAACAGTAGAACAAAACGGATTTTGCATGGCGCATGGCACACATGCAGTCGCATGGCGCACATGCAATCGCGTGCTCATGAAATTTCAGCGTGCGCACATGCAGTGACAGTGCGCACCTGCTGGAGGGAGGAATAAGGGCCCTCCCACAGTGCGGGAGGGATCCGCCGCCTATGTTGAATCCCATGGGGGAAGGAATTCGAAGTCTAACGTGGGGAAGGCATTTAAGACCACTGATCGAGATGGGAGAGAAGGAATGGAGATCGGGAGAGCGGAAAAACGGAGACTAACGTGGGAGACGAAATTAGGAGATGAGCTGCGACCGATATGGGAGAGAATGAGTGGATCGGGGGAGCGGAGCTATGGAAAGTAACGTGGAAAATAATGGAGTTGAGATCGAAATGGGATGGGGATGGGATTGGGAGAGAAGCAAGGAAGGAGGAGTGGAGGAGATCGGGAGAGGAGTTGGAGAGGAGAGCAAGCAAGCAGATTTTGTTGACTCTCGCCACTGTAGCGCGAAATGACCAGCACCCTCGCCTCGGTCACCAAAACAGAAACGAATTGCAACTCTTCATACAAAAAAGGAACACTCCTCACCCTGGAACATGTAAACCTAAAACGAAAATAAGAGTGTACACCTAGAATCCACCTGCCCTGCACCAAAAAAACGATGGTGGGGACCAAATCTCAGAATTCACACACATTGCAAACCAAGTCGCGGAGCACAACACAAGCCTCCAATCCAAATCAAGTCGCTAAACACAAGTCGCGAAACATCCCACCGGTCCAATCAAACAGCACAAGCCATGCCAGCTAGCGCGGTCTGGGAAGTGACAGAAACGAGACTCGGATGATGTACAATCCAATATACAGTCATTGGTGCAGCGCTGGCGCGCTGCGCGATCCGCCTGGTGCCTGCAAACTTACTTTCTTATCAATCTATTCCCATGTACATGGGAATAGATTGATAAGAATGTAAGTTTGCATTTTCCTGGTTTATGTTTTCCTTCACGATGCATGCATTGTTATAAGCAAATATTCCAGAAAACAAGTGGGCTGACCCTGGTGTTGGTTGGTACATCTGCAGCAAAATCTTAGGCTAGCTAGTTCCTAGCTACCTATTTTTTAGCTATCTATTTGCTAGCTACCTAATTCCTGGCTAGTTATAGCCTGGCCTTGCCAATTCCTAGCTAGCCAATTTCTGGCCTGCCAACTCCTTGCTAACTCCTAGCCAATTCCTAGCTTGCTATTTCCTAGCTAGTAGCTAGTTAATTCCTAGCCAGCCAAATCATAGCTGGTAACTAGTTCCTAGCCAGCCACATCCTAGCAAGCTAATCCCTAGCTAGCTGCCGTAATTCCTAGTCAACCAAATCCTAACTACCGTAGCTAATTTGTAGATAGTTTACTACTCCTGGCTAACCTACGAGAAAGGGGCATCTGCGAGGGCGTGTTCCGGCTTCGTCTGTACGCGGTAAACACGATTGGATGTATCAGGGATGTGTCAGGAAGATGCTTCCTTGTGTCACACTCATTGTGGAGTTGATGAAAAGACTGACGTTGCAGATAATGACACCATCTCAAATCGACACGCAACAGGGCCTGGCCTGCAATCGTGCCAACCAAGCGATGGCCCGATACAAACACAGAGACTCAAAAGCTTGAAGCAATCTAATTCAGTAACGCACCACTCCATGCGCTTGACATTGATGTCATTCAACACAGAAACCTTGGTCGTCACGATGCAAGTGTGTAACACTCTATCATGCAGTTGCTTGAACCTAGTTTCACATCAACACGAAGCCACAAGGTACTTTATACGATACCTTGTGCACACCGATGCTGCTCTACTCTAAATATCCAGCCTCAGCATTCACCTAGGAGGCGGAATCCCTCCACCACCCGCACTGATATCATCCAGCTCAATCGTCCTATACTTCTGCGAAACCAGCTCCGCCTGCACCTTCCTGGCTGTATCGGTAGCGCATCCGACTAAAATGAGGATGGACGTTCCAGCAAACCCCCGGAAGGCCGTGAGGTGAGTGATTCCTTCCACAAGAGCCGGCGCTGCTGCCATCGTGCCGAGAAACGCCGACCCGAGCACCGAAATGCGGGTGAGGACCTGGTGTTAAGTAGTTAAAGAAGCAAGAGTAATGGGGAGAAAGGGAGAAGGGGATGGGAGGGGGAAGGAGAAGCCAAAGAGGGAAAGGAAACACGAGTGGGGAAAGGGCTGAGAGGGAGCCGGCCAGGAGTCATCATGGAGTGTTTGCGAGGCCAAACGGAGCTTGGTGATGAGCATGGCTGCTGCCTTGCCAGGCCTGGTGTAGGCCACAGACGCGCCCTGCCTCTTGAGAAAGTGGGCCGTATGCCGGATTTACGAACGTACAATGAGTGAACAAGGGCGACTCACCTTGGTGATGAGTGCGGCTGTTGCTTTGCCGGGCCTCGTGTTGGGTACGGACGCACCCTGCCTCTTGAGCTGGTCGCTGACATCAGCAGGGTCGAGTTGCAGGAAGGTGTAGAAGTAGTTGAAGAAGGCAATGAGTGCCACGTTGGCGGGGAGGTAGAAGAAACCTGGGGATTAGCGGAACACATGGGGAGAGAGGATGTTGATTGAAGATGCAAGGAGAAAGAAAGGAGAAGGAGCGAGTAAGTGAGTTGCAGGAAGGTGTAGAAGTAGTTGAGAAAGGCGAACAGTGCCACGTTAGCAGGCAGATAGAAGAAACCTGGAGATTAGCGGAACACATGGGGAGAGAGGATGTTGATTGAAGATGCAAGGAGAAAGAAAGGAGAAGGAGCGAGTAAGTGAGTTGCAGGAAGGTGTGGAAGTAGTTGAGAAAGGCGAACAGTGCCACGTTAGCAGGCAGATAGAAGAAACCTGGAGATTAGCGGAACACATGGGGAGAGAGGATGTTGATTGAAGATGCAAGGAGAAAGAAAGGAGAAGGAGCGAGTAAGTGAGTTGCAGGAAGGTGTGGAAGTAGTTGAAGAATGCAATCAGTGCCACGTTGGCGGGGAGGTAGAAGAAACCTGGGGATGAGTGGAGCAGGGAAATCAAAGGGAGTGGAGGAGGGAGAGGGAGCAGGGAGAGGAGTGAGTGAGTTGCAGGAAGGTGTAGAAGTAGTTGAAGAATGCGATGAGTGCCACGTTGGCAGGCGGGTAGAGGAGACCTGGGGATTAGTGGAACACATGGTGGTAAAAAGAGTGAGAGGATGACGGAAAAGCAGAGTGATAAATTTGCAGTAAGGTGTAGAAGTAGTTGAAGAAAGCGATCAGTGCCACGTTGGCAGGCAGATAGATCGGTAAAGCGAGCTATGGAGTAGGGAGCAGGAGCAGTCTGGTTACCCTATTACTGACCTGTGGTTACCATGTAACATACCTCCAGGGTAGAGAGCTGTAGCAGCGGACTGGAAAGCAGCACTTCCGGTAAAGCGAGCGATGGAGTAGGGAGCAGCGAGGAGCGAGGAAGAGAAGATAATTGGCATGACTCCCGTTGAGTTGACCTGCAGAGGGGGGAAGAGGAAGAGACGGGTAGAGGGTAGATGAGAAAGATGTTGATCCGAGAGGGTGGAACATAAGAAAGACAAAGGAGAGAGGAGGAGAAGACGATTGGCATGACTTTCGTTGAGTTGACCTGCGGGGGGGATTAGAGGTTGGATAAGAGAAAAGAGGTGGTTGTGAGAGAGGGGTGGTTGGAGAGAATGGGTAGATGAGAGAGAAAGGAACGGCAGATAATTGAGAAGAGAGGAGTAAACGTGAGGCATGGCTTCTGTTGAGTTGAGTGTGGGGGTTGGTGGGGGGGGGGGGGGGGAAGGGTGAGTGAGTGAGGGGTCGATGCAAGAAAAAGAAAGCGGTGTGTTACATTCGCGGGAGAGATGCTACCTTCGAGGGGGAGGTGTTACCTTCCAGGGGGAGGTGCTGCCTTTCAGGGGGAGGTGTAACCTTCCAGAGGGAGGTGCTGCCTTTCAGGGGGAGGTGTTGCCTTTCAGGGGGAGGTGTTACCTTGAATGGCAGGTACGCATTCCGCGTCTTGATGTTGTACCGAGACGCATAGTTGATTGGAATACGCCGCTCTGCCTCCTGCTCGGTGGAAGGGATTAAGTTGTGGTGGTGGTGGGGGTGGTGGGGGTGGTAGGGGGAGTGGGAAGAACGGAGAAAAGAGGACGGGGAATTTGAATTGGTTGTATCGAGACACATAGTTGACGGGAATACGCCGCTCTGCTTCCTGCTTGGAGGGAAAGGGGTAGTGGATAGGGTAGAGGGTGGGAGGGGAAGGGGAGGAGAGGGTAGAAAGAGAGTAGAGGGTGAGATGGTGCATGGGGTTGGTTGTACCGTTATGCGTAGTTGATGGGGATGTGACACTCTGCCTCCTACTCGGAGGGAAGGGGGAAGTTGGAGCTGGTTGTAGCGGCACATAGTTGTTGGGAATGCGACTCCCCGCCTTCTGCTCAGAAGGCTGGCAGGCAGGCCGGCAGAGAGGCATAGAGCAGGAACCCACCTGCACCCATTCACACCCACCTGCACGTAGACAATCCCAAGGACGAGCAGCAGGAAGGAGGCCAGCAGCAGCGCCTCGCCGGTAACGTTCCCCTGCTCAGACGCCTCTGTGATGCAGGTAGGCAGGCAGGAGGAATATAGCACACCCATCCACACCCATCTGTACCGCACCCACCTGCACGTAGACGATGCCGAACACGAGCAGCAGGAAGGACGCGAGCAGCAGCGCCTCTCCGGTCACATTCCCTTGTTCAGAAGCCTCTGTGATCGTCCTCCCAATGGACGCCGGCAGGTAGGAAACGATATTGGTGAAGATGAGCAGAGAGGTGCCGTTGCCGAGCTTGAGATCAGTGATCTTGTCTCCCAGCAGGATGACTGCCACGGATCCCAAAGTGAGGCCCGAGACGGCGGAGACTGCCCAGGCGACCGACGGGTCGTAGGCGTACTGCTGTAGATATGCCACCTGTCCGATAGCCTGGGAGGAGGGCGAGAGGCAGGGAGGAAGGGAGAGCTTGAGGTGGGTGATCCTGTCTCCCAGGAGGATGACTGCCACGGATCCGACAGTCAGGCCTGAGACGGCTGAGACTGCCCAGGCGACCGAGGGGTCGTAGGCGTACTGCTGCAGATATGCCACCTGTCCGATTGCCTGGGAGGAGGGCGAGAGGCAGGGAGGAAGGGAGAGCTTGAGGTGGGTGATCCTGTCTCCCAGGAGGATGACTGCCACGGATCCGACAGTCAGGCCTGAGACGGCTGAGACTGCCCAAGCGACTGATGGGTCGTATGCGTACTGCTGCAGGTAGGCCACTTGGCCGATAGCCTGGGGAGTGGAGGGGGGCAGGGAGAAGGAGAGCTTGAGGTGGGTCGGTGATCTTGTCTCCCCGCAGTGGGGCGACTGAGGGGTCGTATGCGTACAACTGGAGGTAGGCCACTTGGCCTATGGCCTGGGGAGTGGAGGGGGAAGAATAGGGTGGGAAGCGGTGGGGTTGGGTTGAGGAGGGGCGACTGAGTGGTCGTATGCGTACTGCTGGAGGTAGGCCACTTGGCCGATAGCCTGTTGGCAGTGGAGGGGGGCAGGGAGAAGGAGAGCTTGAGGTGGGTCGGTGATCTTGTCTCCCCGCACGATGACTGCTACGGACCCGAGGCGCTCGTAATCTAGTAAAGACAAGAAGAATGTAATGAAATCAGGTAACGTACCTGCAGGGCACCGAACGCCACAGCCATATACTTCATGTACTGCTGCGCTTTCTTCCTCCCCGCCTCCCCCTCCTTCTTCTGCAGATCCCCAATCTTAGGGTACAGCGTCCCCAGCAGCTGGAACACGATCTGAGCGTTGATATACGGCACGATGCCCAGCGAAAACAATCCCAGCCGTCCAATCCCGCCCCCTGAGAGCGTGTCTAGGGTGGCCAGGAATGAGCCCTCCCCCAGTTGCTCCTGGAAGGCGGAGATATCGACGCCCCACAGGGGAATGTAGATTCCCACGCGGGATAGCGCGAGCAGACCCAGGAGCATGAGGAATTTCTTGGGTAAATCGCCCTTGAAAAAGTCGCCGATGTCGATCTTGCTGTCCTCCACTGGAAAGGTGGTGCGGGTCAGGTCAGGGGAGAGGTGGAAACGGGAGGCAGAGGGGGGAGAAAGAGGAGGGAGAACAAGGCAGAGAAAGGCAGAGAGATATAGTGGGAAGGCGGGGAGGAGGGATGAGGGAGAGATTGAAGCAGGGGAGGAAAAAAGGAAGAGGGAATTCGGTTTAGTCTTTTTTTTTTCCCTCGCCCCCCCAAGTCCCCCAAGTCCCCCCCCCCCTCCCCCCCACCCGGGGGGGATGGAGGGTGGGGGAGAGGGGACAGGGGGGACGGGAGGGTGGGAGGAAAGGAATAACATTCTGATGTATGTATTGAAATAATATCACAATCAAGAATCACGGAATATTCTCTCAAATTCAAGCTAGAATCAGCCAACCAGGCTTTGTGACTGTGACTGTAATGAAGGTGGCTGTAATGAAGGCGACTCGACCCGGGGGTTACTGCAATGAAGGCGACTCGACTCGGGGGTGACTGCAATGAAGGCGACTCGACTCGGGGGTGACTGCAATGAAGGCGACTCGACTCGGGGGTGACTGTAATGAATGCGACTCGACCCGGGATTGACTGTAATGAAGGCGACTCGACTCGCGGTCGGCGTGACTATAACCAAGTTCAGGGCGGCATGGCCAGCCTCCTGTCAAGAGAGCATGCCACGTCAGCACTTGTTGCCACGTCAGCAGGACCTGGGTTGAGGTAGGGCCTGGGTCCGGTTCGGGTATGGGCTGCCTCACGTCTCTGCCCCGGGCCTCACGTCTCTGCCCCGGGCCTCACATCTCTGCCCCGGGCCTCACGTCTCTGCCCCGGGCCTCACATCTCTGCCCCGGGCCTCACAATCTCTGCCCCGGGCCTCACGTCTCTGCCCCGGGCCTCACGTCTCTGCCCCGGGCCTCACATCTCTGCCCCGGGCCTCACATCTCTGCCCCGGGCCTCACATCTCTGCCCCGGGCCTCAATACCTACCATAACCAACAAACACCACCTAACATTATCTACCACAGAAACATAACATAATCCTAAACAGCACCTAAGTAAGTTTGATGCATTTTTTGTGAACATTTCTAGACATTACTACGGTACGGGGAATCTTTATCGCACCTGCAATTCGTAGTGGCACCTGTGCAAGGTCCACGGGGGGGAGGGGCGGGAGAGAGAGGAGGACGAGAGGAGAAGAGGAAATGCGGGTCAGGGGAGGTGCTATGAGGGGCAGGGCAGGGGGGTGATGATAGCAGCAAGCACTGCAATAAGAGCCGCAGCATAAGCAAGCAAAGCTCATTCCCCCCCACCTCCATGCGCATTTCCCCCCTGCACCGCACACCACCCCACCCCACCCAACACACTCACCATGTCGTGGCCGGCAGTTGGTGAGCTCGATGGAGGTGGCGACTCCCTCCCCCGCCATCTCCCTGACATGGCGGAACGGACGGCACGAGCAAACGGGGCAAAGCATGGGCAAAGGGGGCAACGCATGAGCAGAGGGGGAAAGGCATGGGCAGGGAGAACGGCATGAGCAGAGGGGGAAAGGCATGGGCAGGGAGAACGGCATGAGCAGAGGGGGAAAGGCATGCGCAAGGCGGGAATGCATGGGAAAGGCGGAAAGGCATGCGCAAGGCGGAAAGGCATGCGCAAGGCGGAAAGGCATGCGCAAGGCGGAAAGGCATGGGGAAGGCGGAAAGGCATGGGGAAGGCGGAAATGCATGGGCAAGGCGGAAAGGCAGGGGAAAGGCGGACATGCATGCGCAAGGCGGAAAGGCATGGGAAAAGGGGGGAACGGCGCGCTGACCTGCTCCGCGTGCAGCATGCTCGCCGGTGCTGTCCGCGCGGCCAGCAGCGCGCGCGGCGCTACCTGGTGAGCGCGGTGGGCGCCGTCACGGCGGGTGGAGCGGCGGCGGGTAGGCGCTGCTACGCTGGAGCCTGTCGTCCCTGCACAGCAAGGGGAGGGAGGGGCAGAGGGAGAGCGGAGGAAGGGACGGAGGGAGAGAGCAACGAGAAACCAAGAAAGGCAAGAGGGGTTGAGGACTGAAGTGAACTGTTTGGAAAGAATGCTCACGTAGGAGAGAAATGGGAAACATAACGGGAATTCCAGGGAGAAAACAGATAAAGAGGACAAAACGAAATAAAGTAATAAAACAGTAGAACAAAACGGATTTTGCATGGCGCATGGCACACATGCAGTCGCATGGCGCACATGCAATCGCGTGCTCATGAAATTTCAGCGTGCGCACATGCAGTGACAGTGCGCACCTGCTGGAGGGAGGAATAAGGGCCCTCCCACAGTGCGGGAGGGATCCGCCGCCTATGTTGAATCCCATGGGGGAAGGAATTCGAAGTCTAACGTGGGGAAGGCATTTAAGACCACTGATCGAGATGGGAGAGAAGGAATGGAGATCGGGAGAGCGGAAAAACGGAGACTAACGTGGGAGACGAAATTAGGAGATGAGCTGCGACCGATATGGGAGAGAATGAGTGGATCGGGAGAGCGGAGCTATGGAAAGTAACGTGGAAAATAATGGAGTTGAGATCGAAATGGGATGGGGATGGGATTGGGAGAGAAGCAAGGAAGGAGGAGTGGAGGAGATCGGGAGAGGAGTTGGAGAGGAGAGCAAGCAAGCAGATTTTGTTGACTCTCGCCACTGTAGCGCGAAATGACCAGCACCCTCGCCTCGGTCACCAAAACAGAAACGAATTGCAACTCTTCATACAAAAAAGGAACACTCCTCACCCTGGAACATGTAAACCTAAAACGAAAATAAGAGTGTACACCTAGAATCCACCTGCCCTGCACCAAAAAAAACGATGGTGGGGACCAAATCTCAGAATTCACACACATTGCAAACCAAGTCGCGGAGCACAACACAAGCCTCCAATCCAAATCAAGTCGCTAAACACAAGTCGCGAAACATCCCACCGGTCCAATCAAACAGCACAAGCCATGCCAGCTAGCGCGGTCTGGGAAGTGACAGAAACGAGACTCGGATGATGTACAATCCAATATACAGTCATTGGTGCAGCGCTGGCGCGCTGCGCGATCCGCCTGGTGCCTGCAAACTTACTTTCTTATCAATCTATTCCCATGTACATGGGAATAGATTGATAAGAATGTAAGTTTGCATTTTCCTGGTTTATGTTTTCCTTCACGATGCATGCATTGTTATAAGCAAATATTCCAGAAAACAAGTGGGCTGACCCTGGTGTTGGTTGGTACACTCTGCAGCAAAATCTTAGGCTAGCTAGTTCCTAGCTACCTATTTTTTAGCTATCTATTTGCTAGCTACCTAATTCCTGGCTAGTTATAGCCTGGCCTTGCCAATTCCTAGCTAGCCAATTTCTGGCCTGCCAACTCCTTGCTAACTCCTAGCCAATTCCTAGCTTGCTATTTCCTAGCTAGTAGCTAGTTAATTCCTAGCCAGCCAAATCATAGCTGGTAACTAGTTCCTAGCCAGCCACATCCTAGCAAGCTAATCCCTAGCTAGCTGCCGTAATTCCTAGTCCAACCAAATCCTAACTACCGTAGCTAATTTGTAGATAGTTTACTACTCCTGGCTAACCTACGAGAAAGGGGCATCTGCGAGGGCGTGTTCCGGCTTCGTCTGTACTGCGGTAACACGATTGGATGTATCAGGGATGTGTCAGGAAGATGCTTCCTTGTGTCACACTCATTGTGGAGTTGATGAAAAGACTGACGTTGCAGATAATGACACCATCTCAAATCGACACGCAACAGGGCCTGGCCTGCAATCGTGCCAACCAAGCGATGGCCCGATACAAACAACAGAGACTCAAAAGCTGAAGCAATCTAATTTCAGTAACGCACACCCTCCCATGCGCTTGACATTGATGTCATTCAACACAGAAACCTTGGTCGTCACGATGCAAGTGTGTAACACTCTATCATGCAGTTGCTTGAACCTAGTTTCACATCAACACGAAGCCACAAGGTACTTTATACGATACCTTGTGCACACCGATGCTGCTCTACTCTAAATATCCAGCCGCAGCATTCACCTAGGAGGCGGAATCCCTCCACCACCCGCACTGATATCATCCAGCTCAATCGTCCTATACTTCTGCGAAACCAGCTCCGCCTGCACCTTCCTGGCTGTATCGGTAGCGCATCCGACTAAAATGAGGATGGACGTTCCAGCAACCCCCGGAAGGCCGTGAGGTGAGTGATTCCTTCCACAAGAGCCGCGCTGCTGCCATCGTGCCGAGAAACGCCGACCCGAGCACCGAAATGCGGGTGAGGACCTGGTGTTAAGTAGTTAAAGAAGCCAAGAGTAATGGGGAGAAAGGGAGAAGGGGATGGGAGGGGGGAAGGAGAAGCCAAAGAGGGAAAGGAAACACGAGTGGGGAAAGGGCTGAGAGGGAGCCGGCCAGGAGTCATCATGGAGTGTTTGCGAGGCCAAACGGAGCTTGGTGATGAGCATGGCTGCTGCCTTGCCAGGCCTGGTGTAGGCCCACAGACGCGCCCTGCCTCTTGAGAAAGTGGGCCGTATGCCGGATTACGAACGTACAATGAGTGAACAAGGGCGACTCACCTTGGTGATGAGTGCGGCTGTTGCTTTGCGGGGCCTCGTGTTGGGTACGGACGCACCCTGCCTCTTGAGCTGGTCGCTGACATCAGCAGGGTCGAGTTGCAGGAAGGTGTAGAAGTAGTTGAAGAAGGCAATGAGTGCCACGTTGGCGGGGAGGTAGAAGAAACCTGGGATTAGCGAACACATGGGGAGAGAGGATGTTGATTGAAGATGCAAGGAGAAAGAAAGGAGAAGGAGCGAGTAGTAAGTGAGTTGCAGGAAGGTGTAGAAGTAGTTGAGAAAGGCGAACAGTGCCACGTTAGCAGGCAGATAGAAGAAACCTGGAGATTAGCGGAACACATGGGGAGAGAGGATGTGATTGAAGATGCAAGAGAAAAAGAAAGGAGAAGGAGCGAGTAAGTGAGTTTGCAGGAAGGTGTGGAAGTAGTTGAGAAAGGCGAACAGTGCCACGTTAGCAGGCAGATAGAAGAAACCTGGAGATTAGCGGAACACATGGGGAGAGAGGATGTTGATTGAAGATGCAAGGAGAAAGAAAGGAGAAGGAGCGAGTAAGGAGTTGCAGGAAGGTGTGGAAGTAGTTGAAGAATGCAATCAGTGCCACGTTGGCGGGGAGGTAGAAGAAACTGGGGATGAGTGGAGCAGGGAAATCAAAGGGAGGGAGGAGGGAGAGGGAGCAGGGAGAGGAGTGAGTGAGTTGCAGGAAGGTGTAGAAGTAGTTGAAGAAGCGATGAGTGCCACGTGGGAAGGGGGTAGAGGAGACTGGGGATTAGTGGAACACATGGTGGTAAAAAGAGTGAGAGGATGACGGAAAAGCAGAGTGATAAATTTGCAGTAAGGTGTAGAAGTAGTGAAGAAAGCGATCAGTGCCACGTGGCAGGCAGATAGATCGGTAAAGCGAGCTATGGAG